CCACCTCTCCCCACCTCCTCCAAGGCCGGGAGGCTGAGCTTTGCCCCACCCCCCGCCCCAGGGCTGGAAGCTGCTTTTTAGCTAGCATCCTAGCTCTGTTCCAGCTTTGCTCCAGTCATGTTTTCTGGCCTTTGGGACATGAATCCCTGGTCTACGCATTGATGGTGACCTGCTGGGTACCTGCCTATGTCACACTCGGGTGTGGCCCATCTGGTATAGGCACAACAGCGTGCAAGCTGTCATCGAGTCATTGTCCATGTGAGGGCTTTGGGTTTACGCTGTGTATGTGAGTGAGTGTGCGTGTGAACTAAACCTAGTGATGTCCTACCACTGAGCTATGTGCCTGGCTCTTTTTTATTTTGTTTTTGTTTTTCATTTTTTTGAGACAGGGTCTTGCTAAATTGCCTGAGCTAGGTGTGAACTTGAGGCCCTCCTGCCTCAGCCTCTTGAGTAGCTGGGATTAGAGGTCTGCACCACCATGTCCAACTCCACTACTTTTTGTGGCAAGGAGTAGTGAGCTGCTCATCCCGGTGCCCACAGCGTGCTCCCTCTGGTGTGAGCCCATGACACTTCATTGCCACACAGCCTGACTCCCCTCCTGCCCTCCTGGCCAGGACCAGCCTCGCTTTATTACCTTTCACCTCAGAATCCCTCAGTACGGGAAGTGGCTTTGACATATGCCACTCCTCAACCCCTAAAACATCTGTTTGACACCTCCTGCTAATATATATTGCAATTCCCAGCAACCAGCTTCCTCCCGTCTTCCCCTCTCTGAGCACTGTGCTAAACCAATGCCTCTTGCCAAGGAGGAGGAGACACACCCAGCCTCTACACCTGAGTTCTAAGGGGAAAAAAGTAAGAAGCGAGATATGCCATGGACAGGTACAAATTCTCTGTGATGACTCTTATCATTATGTATATCTAAAATGTGCTGGTAAATTTTTTTAAAAATGCAAAATAAGGGGCTGGGGATTTAGCTCAGCGGCAAAGCACCTGCCTGGAAAGCGCAAGGTCGTGAGTTCGGTTCCCGGTACCAGAGAAAAACCAAAAAAAAAACAAAAAACAATGACCTACTGTAAAAATGCAAAATAAAAAACTACTAAGTTCTGGGAGATAGGGTCCCTGAGAGGTCCCACTGTGAAGACTTTAAGTGGGCAAGAAGCCAATCAGCTTGCATGCTTTGATTTTGGGTTTTTTGTTTTTTTTGATTTTTGGATTTTGGCTTGGTTTTGTTTGGGGTTGTTTTTGTTTTGTTTGTTTTTGTTGGTGGTGGTTTTTTTGGTTTTTTGTTTTCTGGGTTTTTGTTTTTGTTTTTGTTTTCCGGTACCGGGAATCGAACTCATGACCTTGCACTTGCCAGGCAGGCGCTATGCCGCTGAGCTAAATCCCCAGACCCTTTTTTTTTGTTTTTTTAAGACAGAGTGTTGCTATGTAGTTCAGGCCAGCCCTGACTCATAGTGATCCTCCTCCCTCGGCCTCCTGAGTGCTGGGATTACAGGCATGCACCACCATGCTCAGCCTGAATGCTTTGGAGGGTGAGAACTTGAGTGGTCTCGTGAAAGGCCTCAGGGCCAGACAGGCTGGCTGGACCTAAGGCCTCCCCTGGGCAGGGGAGCAGCTGGGCTCCAGCCTCTGCCCAGGCCCTGCACCCCTCATTCTATCTGAAGCCTGTGCTCTGCAAGTGGACTGCTTTCCTCAGTCTCTCCTTTACCTCTTGCTGAATCACAGTAGGAATCAAATGGTGGAGTCATGACTCTCTGAAATAACTTCCCACTGACAGCAGGAACCCAAGAAGAGCAACAGAGGCACAGACTGCAGGATACAAAGGGGGTCTGTATCCCTGCTGAACCCAGAGTAGATGTAATTCCCAGTGGAAGGAAGCTGGGCTTGGGCTGGTCCTTGAAGGAAGGTCAGGAATGAAGAGGCAAACTTGGGAAGAACGGTCTGGCAGGCCAGAGGAAGGACCTGAGCAAAGTCTCAGTGCCAGGGACGTGTCAGGGGATAGGAGTGGGAAGCTGGTAGGATGGTATACCTGGAGGACAGGGTGCCTGAAGCAATCACCTAGAATATAAAGCTGGACATGGTGGCCCACACCTGGAATCCCAGAACTCTGGGAGGCTGAGGCAGGGAGAATCACAAGTTTGAGCCCAGCCTGGACAACTTAGTGATTTAGCAAAACCCTCTCTCAAAAAAAATAAATAAATAAATAAAAAAGAATTGGGGCTATAGCTCAGAGCAAAGGCCCTGTGTTCAGTCCCCAGTACTACAAAAAATAAAAATAAAAAAGAAGGTAAGGTCTGACAGATGAAAGGAATGTGCATTTCGGAGAAATGTAAAGGTCCGCTGAAGAGTTTACCCTGACAGGTCCATGGTTTTCACATGCAAAGAGAACCACTTTCTTAAACACAAGCCTATGTGTTTTTGACTACATAAAGCAAAGAGCCATTGTTTAAAGGCAAGAAGGAGGGCCTGGAGCCCTAGTCCCAGGAGGCCCTGTGATGTAGACATAATTGAGGTCACTCATGAGGGATCATCCACGTAGGGTGCCCCGCAACTGGCTCTGGAGTTCAGCACTGTGTGTTAAACGTCTCCCCTAAGAGGACATGCCAATGACATGCCAGCGGGCACATCCGCATGTGGCACTGTGGGCTGCTCTGTGAATGCAGGCAGTCTGGCTCACTCCAGCCATCCACTGTTGAACAGTAGCACAAAAAACGAGCTTTTCTCAAGAAAGCTTTGCTATTAAATGTGAAATTGGAGAGAGAGAGACAGAGAGACAGAGAAAGAGATGGAGAGAGAGAGGCCAAAGATTTTTTAAAAAGAAGCTAGTATGGTGGTACACATTTATAATCCCAGTACTTGGGAGGCTGAGGCAGGAGGATCGTTGTGAATTTGCAGCCATCCTGAGCTACATAGTGGGTTCAAATTCAACCTGAATGACATAGTGAAAACTTGTCTCAAAACAAAACAAAAAAAGAGATTAGGCCGGGCATGGTGGCGCACGCCTATAATCCCAGCACTCGGGAGGCTGAGGCAGGAGAATCGTTGTGAGTTCAAGACCAGCGTGGGCTACAAAGTGAGCTCAAGGCCAGCCTGAACTGCATATCGAGACCCTGTCTCAAAAAGACAAAAAAAAAAGAGAGATTAAAGTAAAAATAAATCACTGTCTGCTGGTGATAGGAAACAGTAAAGGATATTAAGCAGACACTTAAATGATAGTGTGTGTGTTGTTTCATTTCTGTTTTTGTTTTCTTGAGATGAGGTCTCACTATGTTGCCCAGCCTGGTCTCAAATTTATAGGCTTACACCACTGAACCTCCTCCCTGAGCCTCCTAAGTAGCTGTACTATATGTGCTCATCACTACACCCAGCTGGGATTCATGGTGAGAACACTGGCTCCCACAAGGACAGTTTTCCACGCAGGAAGTGGACAGGAGAGGAGCAGTTGTCAGGAAGGGGACCCGTGGTGAGAGCAGCCTGGGCATGAAGGTGAAGCAGAGCTGCAGCAGGCCGTGGTGGAGGGGATGATGCTGGGGAGGTGGTAAATGGCTTTGCCACTACACACACACATCCTACCCACTTCTCACATGGTCACCTGCTCCGGGGACCAGAAGGGAAGATGCGGGGGGGTTGCCCACCATTGCAAGTCTGTGTGTGACCCACAACTGGGGCTCCTGCTTGCAAGAAAGCCCTGTTGTAGCCCGTGAACTGCCTACTGCTTGCGGCAGACCCTCAGGCTCCTGAAAGGGGGCTCTGGGGAGGCAGAGTCCCTCACCCCACTCCCTGCCGCCTTGGGGTTAGTCATTTACAGAGTTGCGTTTGAACCCACAGAGGTTGGCTACCCTTGGTTTTGCATTGCACGGGAAGGGGGCTGGCCAGGGGAGGGTGGGAAGAACAGAGCTGGGAGGCGAGGAGCAGGTGCAGGGGCAGCTGCGAGTGAAAGGTATGAAAACAGGCACCATACCTTCCTCTGTGGTTAGTGGTAAACAACCTGGGCCCTGGGGCGATGGTGGGAGGTGATGGAGAGGAGAGGAGGGTGGGGAGGAGGGAACTTCCGGAGGGACCGCAGGCCCGCCCCCTTCACTCAGAACTGCCTCCCTCCCTCCCCTTTGCCTGGTCTCCCTCACTTCCTCTGCCTGTCTCTGTGTTTCTGGGCTTTCTGCTTCCTATCTCCCGTGGCCTGGGGAATCTGCAGGGGATGGGAAGTAGTCAGAGTGCTGCATCTGCTGCCCTCCCCAAAGCCTTTAGAAAAGTCCCAGGCAGTGCAGCTCAGTGGTTGGAGTGTTGGCTCTGGAGGGAGGTGAAAGTGGTCTTTAGTGATCTTTAGCAAGACAAGCCAGGAAATGTGCTGTTCTAGCCCTTGAGCTGGTTGCATGGATCGCAGCAGGTGGGAGGCCAGGACCATAATGTCAGCATTAATGACGCCAATGAGGAATAGGGGGACAAATTAAGAGGAAGCCTGCAGGTTATATAGAACCTACCTGCCCCTTCCCTGCAGCAGGTTCCTAGGTTTTAGTGATTGCTACTCTGTTCATTATCAGAGCAGATAGCCCTTGTCCCAACCAGATCCAGTCCCCAAGCCTGCAGTCTTCCATACCTGTGGACACATAAACACACAGATGCAGGTGCACAGCCTGTCAGTTTGCAAGCATGCCCACACCGTACATCTCCTTTCACCCTCATTGCTGCCTGATGGAGGATTAATACCTTTTACAGAGGAAACGCTGATGTTCCAGGCTAGGATGTAGAACACTTTCCTAGCACATGTGAGGTCCTCGGTTTGATCCTCAGTATCCCACAAAAAGAAAAGAAAGAAAATTAGAAAAGACAAAGTGATTTATTCAAGGAAACACCCAGGAAATTTGGCATATGGTGCGTGGGATGTACTGGAGTACAGTTAGCCTGGGGCGATAGAAAAAATCTAGATGGAAGGTAGGGTTCCTGGAAGAAAAGATAGATGGGGTCCTCGGTTCTCATACTCCTGTCTTCTGTCCCTGCAGTACAATGTACTGGCCAACTATAATGACAGCACGGAGATCCCTCTCTTGGAGAGCCACTTCTGCTCCACAGCTGAGGGGCCCCTTCTGACCTCCTTCAAGGCCGTGTTCATGCCAGTGGCCTACAGCTTCATCTTCCTCCTGGGTATGATGGGCAACATCCTGGTGCTGGTGATCCTGGAGCGGCACCGGCAGACACGCAGCTCCACCGAGACCTTCCTGTTCCACTTGGCAGTGGCTGATCTCCTATTGGTCTTCATTCTGCCCTTTGCTGTGGCTGAGGGCTCAGTGGGCTGGGTCCTGGGGACCTTCCTCTGCAAAACTGTGATTGCCCTGCACAAGATCAACTTCTACTGCAGCAGCCTGCTCCTGGCCTGCATCGCTGTGGACCGCTACCTGGCCATTGTCCATGCCGTCCATGCCTACCGCCACCGCCGCCTCCTCTCCATCCACATCACCTGCGCGGCCATCTGGCTGGCGGGCTTCCTCTTTGCGTTGCCAGAGATTCTCTTCGCCAAGGTCAGCCAACCCCATCACAACGACTCCCTGCCACGTTGTACCTTCTCCCAAGAGAACCAAGCTGAAACCAATGCCTGGTTCACCTCCCGCTTCCTCTACCATGTTGGGGGCTTCCTGCTGCCTATGCTGGTGATGGGCTGGTGCTATGTGGGGGTGGTGCACAGACTTTGCCAGGCCCAGCGGCGCCCTCAACGGCAGAAGGCAGTCAGGGTGGCCATCCTGGTGACCAGCATCTTCTTTCTCTGCTGGTCGCCCTACCACATTGTCATCTTCCTGGACACCCTGGCAAGGTTGAAGGCTGTGGACAATAGCTGCGAGTTGAATGGCTATCTCCCGATGGCCATCACCATGTGCGAGTTCCTGGGTCTAGCTCACTGCTGCCTCAATCCCATGCTCTACACCTTCGCTGGCGTTAAGTTTCGCAGTGACCTGTCTCGGCTTCTGACCAAGTTGGGCTGTGCCGGCCCTGCCTCCTTGTGCCAGCTCCTCCCCAGCTGGCGCAAGAGCAGTCTCTCTGAGTCAGAGAATGCCACCTCCCTCACCACCTTCTAAGACCCAATGCCCCCCTTTGTTTCTGCTTCCCTGGGGGCATTCGAGGATGCTGGAGCCTTTTCCAACGGGAGCTGGCATCCTAAAAGCCACGGAGGTGAGTGTCCCTTGGGGCAGGGAGATGAACCAGTCCTCCTTGAAGATGTCCCTGCAGCTCTTCTGCCAGCCCTGGGGCTGGGCTGAAGCCCAAGGAGGGGAAAGCAGCCGGAAGGCAAAGCAAAGGCTGTCTGTCCCATCTGCACCACCCTGAGCGAAGAGGACCCCACACACCTTCTCCCATCATCACCCGTCAAAGCACAAGAACCAACATTTACTTCTACCCTGGCCATGAAGGAAAGTCAGTCCCCTCCCAGAACACACTCCATCATCTTAGGGCTGCTCACTGCCACAGCTACCCACCTCACCTCTGATGCCATTTGCTGAACGAAGCCAGGAGAAGCTGGGCACCAGAGGATGAGTCGAGGTTAAGGCTGAGGGACGGCCAGCTGGCAGCAGTGTGACCTTAATGCACCTTGGGCCCTTAAACTCATTCTGCCAGGACCCCAGCCCGTCAGTCATCTCGACCAAGTAGGAAGGTGGGATTGATTCACTTTAAGTAGCTGCCCTGGCTGTGACCAAAACAGCACTGGGTCAGCCCCATGTCACTGGCTCCTGGTCTACAGACTGAGAACAGACTCCAGGTGCCACGGAAGGCAGCCAGCACCCTAGTCAGGAACTAAGGGAGAGCTAGGAGAGGAATGCAGTGGGAGAATGGAAAATCTCCCTCTGCAGCCCCCAAGGGGACAGATACAAATCAAGCCCAGTTGTCATCTCTGCCCAGGAACCAGATGGAGGTGGTTGGAGCAGTCCCAGGATGGACGTGAAGAGACAGGATCCAGGGCCCTAGCAGGTTCTGGGTACTGATGGGGAAGAAAGCAGCCTTGGCCTCCTTTCCACAATCTACAGGACCTATAAAAACTAGAACAGCAGAGGGGTTCAGGCCGCAGCAGCAGATGCCCTTAGCTAAAAGTCAGAATGGAGTAGAGACCCGCTGAGGAGAAAGACAGATTAAAGGGGACCTCTGGAAGTCATCTCATCTAGTCCCCCACCCCCATGTCACCGTAAGTAAGGTAGTGTAAAAACCGGATCTGGCCAGGGAAGTCCCCAGACCCCAGGAAGCCTGCCCCGGCCCTGAGAGGATACCACTCAGATGGAACCAGAGGAAGCTGCTCCATGCTTAGGGAGGCCTGTCAGGCATTTCCGGGCTCTCCTTCCCCCTCAGCCTAGACTGGGGTGGGGGTCAGGGGCCCTGGCACCTGCTGAGGGCCCATCTGGGTTCCCCAGTGCTCAAGCCTATCAGCCAAACTCCCTGGGAGGCCCCCACTGGGGAAGTTAGGGCTGTGGCCCCGGAGGAGGCCGGGCCCTCACCATAAAATGATGGGGAAGCCCTGTGGTCCCCCTTTTTTTCTCCCAGCATTTTAATAGCAAGCTGGGTAATGGGGGAACCAGACACAGAAGCAAAAAAGCAACAGGTTGGATTTTGAATTTTCTTTTTAATAAAAAGGCACCTATAAAACAGGTCAATACAGTACAGGCAGCACAGAGACCCCCGGAACAAGCCTAAAAATTGTTTCAAAATAAAAACCAAGAAGATGTTTTCACATATTGTATTTATATATTTATATTTATATATATATATTTATATAATGGTACAAAATGGCTGGGGGTATGGCCATGGATGGAGGAGAAAGGCTGGCCGCTAGAGCTCACCTGGGAAGCTAGTGGCAGAGAAAGGAGCAGAGGGGACCAGGAGGGTGTGGGTCCCTTGCGGTCTAAGCCCTCTCCTGGGGCAGGAAACACTTAGAATACGACAGTTTGGGCAGTCTTGGAAGAGGGGGGCGCTCGGGGGCACAGGGCCCCAGGCAGAGGCAGGCAGCACGCCTGGTGGGATGGAAGGCAAGTGCTCCCCCAACACAGGGCCCCTGGCCACGGCCCTGGAGGTGCTGGGGAAAGTCAAGAGCCCACAGCCAGCCCGAGAGGAAGAAGTGGCGCTTGACCTGGCTGACGGTGGACCAAGAGGTCAGCACCAGACTGGGAGAAGTGGGCACGAATTCCCTTTGTATTACAGCTGCCAAGGTGAGACCAGGCCCTGCAGGTCAGGAAGGCTGGGGATGGGGCTCTGGTAGACGACACCCTGTCTAGAATGGCCCTTGGCCCTGCAGGTGGGACACAAGAGGGCTTGGCCACGGAACTGCCCCGCCACCTCACGAGGCAGGAAAGGAAGTGAGAGAAAGAGAAGCTTCTTACTCCTAGGGCCAATGGGGTCAAAACACCCAGTCCCTTATGGCTTCAGCTCTGACCAGTGGTGGCGGGGGAGGGGAAGAGCTCTCCTGGGAAGGAAGGAGGGGACTTAGAGGGAGCAGTGGCTGTGCTTGGGTGAGCACTGACAGAGGGCACACAGCCCTCAGCCCTGGGCACAGGGACCGAGCCAGTGAGTGGGCAGGCAAAGAGGAGGGGGCGGGATGTTCCCAGGCCCTCCGGTGCTTCCTCCACTCCATCCTGAGGCTGGAGGCTGGAGGCAAGGCAAACTCAGCCGAGCCCTGGCCTTCCTTCTTTGGTAAGAAGTAGGTGGCCACCTCTGGGAGAGTCAGAGGTCCTGGGTATTGGCTGGCCCAGGGCTAGGGCAGCCACAGACTCCAGCAGCATCAGGCTCTCCCTGGCTCCACTCAAGGGGCCACTCGGATGCTGCCCCTTCCTCTTTTCCTCCATCCCAGACTGGAGACAAAGGGCTTCAAGTTCTGGCTAAAACATAGCAGCAGGAGCACCCAGACCTCTACAGCGGGAAGCCACCGCCCTGTGTGACTGGTGTGGTGGACACACACACATTCCCCATGAGTCACTCAGCAGCAGGCAGGCTGCTGCCCTGGGGGTCTCGGCCCTGCTGGGCTCACAGGTGGAAGCCTTGGCGGTCTGACCTCAGTTTAGGTGTGGGGCACCTATGTCATCTTACCACTTGGAGAGGGGACAGAAATGGTGTCCTTTACAGACCCAGAGACACTGCACAGTGGGTGGGTGTGTAAGACTGCATGTCCCCGGATCCAAGGGAATGAAGGGGGCAATCATCTGAAGAGGGGGAAGGGTTTCTTTTATCCTTTTTTTTTTTTTTTTATGACTTCTATCAAAACACAGAAATACAGCACACGCACAAACCGGCACAAAAGCGCAGCGCTCTATTTACAGCTCTGGCTGGCACCTGCCCACCTGGCCAGCCGCCTGCGAGGGGTACTCGGGGAAGGGGTCAGCCACATCAGCAGTGAGAGGGAACGCGGCAGGAAAAAACAGAAGGGAAAACGGGTAAGAGCAGAGGAACAAGAGGAGAAAGGGGCTCGGAGCTCTAGCAATGAGGAGACAGCAGCAGGAAGGGTCAGCGGGGACGCCCACCTTTTCTCACTCCCCCAAGGACCCAAAGCATAGTGAAGAGGGGGAGGGGCTGCAGAGAAAGGGAAAACAGAGTCTCCATAGGAATCAGGAGGGCAGGGAAGGGACACCCTGGTGGCCAAAATGGAGCAAATCCCAATCCGAACCCCCACCCCACTCTGCCGCTTCCCCCTAAGATGCCAGCACATCTGGTTCCCACAAATGCCACTTCCCACACCAGCCCCCTCCCTCCCCTCCACCCACCCCTGGACCCAGGCCATCCCGACACTGGAGGGAAGAAACTCTTTGAAGGTTGGCATGTGTGCGACAGTGCCCTGCTTGAGCCCCCGCAGGGGCTGCTAGAAGGGCAGGTTGGCCATGCTGCCCGGCGCCGGGAGGTAGCCCATCTGGCTGTCCAGAGACACGCTGCGCTGCCGCAGTGGGTGGGACACCATCAGGTTCTGCTGGGGTGGGGGGCCCATGAGGGAGCCCTGTGGGGACAGCATGTGGGGGGGCTGGCTGTAGACTTCGCCCCCCACAGCCCGCTGCTTCATCAGCATGAAATTCTGCTGGGTCATGAGGCCTTGTGGTGGCGACATGACCCCCTGGTGCAGGCCGTGGGGCACCATGCCCTGCTGTGGGGGCACACCTGTCCTGCCCAGCAAGGACATCTGTCCGGGATGGCACATGGACATGTTGAGCCCCCGCTGGACACCCTGCTGGCCTGGCAGGTTGGGGGGCCGAGAGGGGGTCTGCTCCGCCATCATGTTCTGCAGGTTCATGAGATGCAGATTGGGGGGCTGGGCCTTGGGGGGCTGGTTCTCGCTCTTGGGGAAGTACTGGAGGGTGCTGCTTGGCTTCTCAGAGGGGATGATCCTTGACAAGTCAAACTCGGGGATCCCGGTCGGGGTAGGTCGGATCACCTCACTCAGCTCTGGGTCGTTCAGCACAGAGGCCACCCCCGGGAGCACCCCCGGCGGGTATGCGTCACCCATGCGCCCAGCCATGCCTTTGCCCATCAGGTGCTGTTGGGGGGGCATGGGACCTGGTGGCTGGCTGGGCATGTCCTCTGGGGGCAGGGGTATGCCCGAAGGGTAGTGCTGCTGCAGGCCAGACCCACCACCCCCACCCCCAGCAGGAGCCATGGCACCATGGGGCTGCTGCAGCCGAGGGGGGAAGGGCATCATCTGGGAGGAGCTGGGCACAGGGCCACAGGGGGCATTCAGGGAGTCTGGGCCCCCTGGGGCCAACATCATTGAGTTCTGTGGGGGCCCTCCTGCCCCCTGTGTGTTGGGGTGCAGTGGAATGTTGGAGCCCAGAGGGGTCGGGGAGGGCAACATGGCAGGCGGGGGCTCATGGGACAGGGGCTGCTGGCCTGGCAGGTTCATGCCTATGGGGCTCTGGGCAGCCGCGGAGTTCAGGTGCATCTGGCTGGGCTGGTTGTTGCTGATACCTGTGAGGAGAGCACAAAGGGGTCAGGTGTTGTGTGCATCCGGCTGGGGGAGGTGGGAGCCCAGTCCCTCCCCGCTCCCAGTCAGGTGGTGCTAGGGCGCCAGCTCTCACCACTAGCCACCCTTGGCTTTGAGGGAAGGGACTATAGGCACTTGAGCTAGAAGCCAAGAGCCCACATTCTGGCCATTTGCTATGGATCTGTAAGGAGCCCTGAAAAGACCACTCAAGCGCTTGAGCTGGGTTTTGCTAAATGACTGGGAAGTGGGAACAGGTCCTGGACCTCACACCCCACCTCCAGTGCCCTGGGGAAGCGTGGAAAAGCCGATGTAACCACAGGGCAACTGCTGGCCGTGCATGCCCCCTTCCCATTTCCAGTGCCCCCTGCCTGTCCTCACACCTGGCCCAGAGCCCTGCGGGGGCGGTGGGGGGGGCAGCAGGGGCCGGTCAGGCAGCAGCTCGTCGTCTGAGGTGGCGATGGTCTTGATGGCATTGTGGTAGAGCGGGGTGGAGCTGGGCATGGCGTACTTGGACATCTGGGACATCATCAGTGACAGAGGGTTCTGGGAAGGCGTGGGGTCTGGGGAGGAGGTGAATGGTAGGCTGGGGTTCATGAGACTGCTGGGAGGGTTGGCAGGAGGCACTGAGGAGCTGCTCCGGGGGCCACTAGGCGGGAGGGCACCTACAGAAACCAAGGAGACAGAGAGCAGGGTGGTGACCGGGGAGGGAACGAGTTTGGCTGCTCATACCGGGGTGTTTAGGAAGAGGTCAGCCCCCCAGATCTCCAACTGACTCCTCCAGGAGCACCCACATCCCTCAGAACACAGCCCTCCCCCATGTTCACCACACCTCGCCCATCTTCAAGCCATTCCTAGTCTCGTGCCCACAGGCAGAGGGGAGATCCCAAGTCCCAAGTGCAGGACGCAGTGCCACACACTCACCCGCTTGAACCCTTAAGAAAGCCCCACCCAGCCGCCTGCCCCTGCCCCAGCACAGGCCTACCCACCACAGAGGCACCCACCACAGGCCCAGCACCCACACACCCACCCAGCTGACTCACCCTGCTCCATGTTGCCCAGGCTGGAGGAAGAGTTCATGTTGAGAGGCGGCTGCTTATTCTGGGAGACCCCCGGGCTGGGCATGGCTGTCTTGGGTGAGGCAACCCAGCCTGGAGAAGGCACCGCCATGGAGGGAGACTTGAGCCTGCTGGGTGAGCCAGTGGGTGAGCGGACGTTGAGAGAGGAGCTGAGAACCTGGGGTGACTTGAGAGGTCCTGGAGGGTTGGCAGAAGGCAAGGGCACCATCTGCGAGGGAGTCTGGGGCGACTTGAGGTTGGCAGAAGGTGAGGTGACCAGGGGTGACTGCACCTGGCTAAGGGTGGGCGACTTCAGGTGCCCCATGCCCGGCGAGCCCATCTGATTAATACTGATGGTGAGGTCTGAAGGCCGTCTACCCAGCCCCCGGCTGGGGGCTGAATGCACAGACCCAGGAGGATTAGATGCAGCCGGCAGAGGCATGTGGCTGAGTCGGGTGGTGCCCACAGTACCCATGGGCATCGAGCCCTGCTCAGGGCTGAACATGTCTTGGGCATTGCCCATATCCTGAGGCATGGCTTGGTAGGGTCCCTGTGCCCCAGAGAAGCTCTGCTGGCCCTGGCTGGGAAACTGAGAAGGCATAAGCATCTTCTGTGGGCCACCCATCATGCCGCTGCTGTTCTGGGCCCGAACCCGGGCCATCTCCTCAGGACTGAGGCCCTGGGGTCCCATCAAGTCTCCCGGGCCCCGCATCTTCTGCGACATCAGCATCTGCTGCTGCGGGGTCATCTGCACATTCAGGTTCATGTTCATGTTCATGTTCACATTCATGTTCATGTTGAGGTTGCCTGGCCCCATGGGTGGGTCCACCTCCCGCAGCCCCGACTGCCCCATGGGAGGGCTCAGGAGGCCCCGGCCACCACCGAACTCCATGCCCATGGGAGTGCCCGTCAGGCCTTCACCACCAGCCATCTGCCCGGGGAACATGGTGGGATCCATCTGCCGGTGTGCCTGCATCATGCGCTCCATGTCCATGCTCTGCCCCATGCCACTGCCTGCCATGCCCAGGGGGCGCTGCATGCCCATTGATCGCTTCTCTAGCAGCTGGTGTCGCAGCAGCTCCTCCCGGACCCGAGGGGTTATGAATCGCTCTGCCTCACCCTGCCCACCTGGGTAGGGCACGGCATTCTGAGCAAAATTGCCAGGTCCCCCCATGGGAGGCAAGTCTTCCGTCCAGCCCATGCCTGGCCTCACAGGCCTCTGCATGGCATTCATGGGCACCTCCATTGGCATACTCTGCATGCCCCCAAACCCAGGTACCCGTTGCATCTGGTTGCCTGGGAAGCGGGGGCCAGGGAAGGGAGGTCCACCCCGGAGCTGCATGGGATCCTGGACATCCATGGGCCCCCGAAGCTGTGCGCCCATTCCGGGTGGCCACTGATCCCCAGGCTTGCTGTGGTAGGGAGGCGGGGGCCCCCTCACCATCATGCCACCCATGCCCATCATGTCCTGCAGAGGGCGGCCCCCATGCAGCCCAATCTGTTCCTCCTTCCGGCGCTTCTCCTCGTAGTACTCCTCCTGCAGCTTGCGCCAGGCCACCTGCTCGGGCGTCAGGCTGTCCTGGCCCAGCCTTTGCATCATCATGTTCATCTGCTGCCCCATGTCCCCACCGGGGGGGTGCCCAGGCACTTCATGCTCCAGTGGGGGCCCCCCTAGGCTCTGTGTCTGTGAAATCATGGACTGCAAGGGCTCCTCATACTTCTTCAGCCCACTGGAAGGGGCCGCGGGAGACTGCTGAGGGGCAGGAGGAGCTTGTGCTGGGGGGCCCCCCTCACCTGCTCCTCCAGGGGGCCCTTTGAGGAAAGGCTCCGTCTCCCCGCTGCGGAGCAGCAGCCGTTCAATGTCTCGCAGAGTCTGCAGGGACCGCTCCCGATGTTCCAGCTGCTCTTTGGACAGGCCCTCGGAGCCCACCAGGCTGCGCTGCCCATTTCCTGTGGGGGTGGCTTCCCCCAGCAGTGCAGGGCCAGGGGCATTGCCAGGGTCTCCTCCAGGAGGCAGAGGGTTGTTAGCAGTGGCAGCCGTCGGGGTGTTAGGGTGGGTGCCCCCAGTCCCACCACCTGTGCTGGCAGCGCCCACCGAGTTGGGGGCCAGGTCCTGACTGGTGTCCTCAGGAGGCCCCTCGGAGGGTAGTGCAGGGGGGGCGCTGCCAGGGGCAGGGGGTGGCGGTGGTGGCAGTGGAGGTGGCTGGGACTGCGGGGTGCCTGCTGATGGTGTGCTCAGGGGTAG